TATCGTCGTACTAGTACATCTAGATTACCTAGATAATCACTAGCTATTTAAGAGAGAACTCAAAGCCGTGTACGACCTAAGGAAGCTTAGAGAGCTTAAGTAGTTCCTTAGGATTAGAGTTCTAAGAGACTAGACAGCAGGAACGATCTAGCTAATCTAGGACTTATTTATTAAGAAGGTAGTTAACAATTTTAACTTAGATTAGAAGTTAGGGGGGAGATACCTAGCAGTTCCGCTCGTAGAGAACTCTCTAGCTTAGTCTAAAGAGGAGACAGATTACTAGCGTACGCAGCTGTATTAGCAGTTAGTTAGATCGCTAGCGTACATCTTAACATTTACGAGGCCTAATGTATCACGAGCACACTCTGTATTAGCTCAGCATCTCCAGAACCCTAGTTAGAAACACATATCAGCGGTAAAGCATGTTTAGAGATACCTGTACAGAAGCAAACACCTAGCGATTAGAGCTAGCTAGAAGATAGCGGAGAGCTCGTCCTACGTCTAGGACAAGTCTCTCTTCTACAGAGCATCTAATGCAGCATTTGCTAATAATGTAGAAAGTCGTCGATCGTCTTATAGATACTTGTTTAAGCTGTACAGGATGCCTATTAACTAGAAGGCTACCTAACAGAAATTAGTTACAAAGTCGACAACTAAGGCTAAGTTAATAGCTCTATTAACAACTAGAGGAGAAATAGAGTAGTAGACCCGCGTTTTCTAGCACATCAAGTTTAACCTAGAGATCTAACTAACAATCTACTACAACAATAAGCAGACGGTTAGGATCGTTAAGAAGGAAGATAAACAGCTCTACACGAAGCTAAGGCATGTAGACACCTATTAGATGTAGGTAAGACAGGAGGTACAGGAGGGACGACTTAATGTAGAGTAGTGCCCTACAGCAGAGATGCCTGCAGACGGACTTACAAAGTCCCTTGTAAGGCAGAAACACGCTAAGTTTGTGAGGCAGCTTAGGCTTGAAAACGTTCGCTAGCTCCTTACTACTTATAACAATTTACTAGAACTAGCAGAGCTACGGCAGTAGTACTAGCTAGCTTTGTTGATCACGGCAGCTAGGGGGGAGTGTAACGGTTTGGGCCTTGCCTAGATCAACTCTAGTACGAGTTAGGATAGCTTATGTACGGTTATCTATATATGTAGCTTAGCCCACCTCAGATAGTCAATTCAGCGCAGTCTTCTCCTCTATCTTAACACCGTCACATATATCTTAACTAATGCCTAGACGTCTAAGGAAGGAACGAACTATGTAGCAGTTGTTGCTCACTTCCTAGACAAGAAGCATAAGTTGTAAACAGCCCTTCTTGACCTTTCGCCTCTAAAAGGCCTACATTCTAGAGAGAATATTGCGAAATTGCTGTTAACGGTTATTAACTTGTACGATATATCTGCTGTTATTAGCTTCTTTATAATAGACAATGCTAGCAATAACAACACGCGCATTAGAGAACTAGCAAAGCAGTACCCTACAATTACATAGCAGAGTCGCCTTTAGTGCGTTAGCTATATTCTAAACCTTATCGTTAAAGCTCTTCTCTTTAGGACAGGGGTTAGCAAGTTAGAGAAAGAGCTCTGTAGCGCATCTAATAATAAGCGGTTTAAGATATAGAGGAAGCAGAGTTTTATTAGTAAGCTCTATAATTTCTGTGTGTAGATTAACTAGAGTGATTAGCGGCGGGAGTTTCTAAGAGAGTATATTTTGCAGGCGTACGATAGAGGCAGCATTAAGAACCTTTACACTAGGGTACTAGCTGACGGTAGCTTCCGCTAGAACTCTGTGTATGCTATAATTAAGAGAGCTCTTAAGCTCCGTAACGCAATTGATTTGTTCTTTCTCTACTATAGTTATAGTAGTAAAGGATACGATATCTTACAGGACGCTATTACTTAGCGCGATTGGACTAATCTAGAGCACTTCTTTAATATCTTAAAGCCGTTTAAAGATCTGATCAAACGCATAGAAGGCTAGGCCAATAAAGCTGGCCTTAAAGGATCACACGGCTCACTCTATAAGACACTCAAGTCACTTGACGTTCTCTTTAAGAAGCTTCAGGAAGCCGGAAAGTTCGCAGACAATTACCCTAAGGAGGTTTTGGAATACTATTCCTGTGCTATTAATACTGCCCGCCTCAAGCTTAAAGAATACTACGGCCTTACGGACGCTACGCTAGCCTACCGATGCGCTGTCGCCCTCCATCCTGCGAACAAATTTAGCTATTTCGATATCGAATAGCAGCATAAGAAGAAATAGATCACTAAGGCGAAGCGGGTGGTGCATAATGAGTATGCATAATACGAGGAAGCAGCTGCAGAAGTAGAGATAGCAGAAGCAACACAAGAGGAGGATAATGAGGATGGTACTGATAGCGATACGACGCTCGATCTTCTCTAGCAAGCTCGTAAGCGTCGCCAGCGCGTCGCCGCTAATACGGCGTCTACGCGAGGAAAGAAGCGCGCAAGAGTCACCTCTGACCTTGATCAGTTTATAGCTAGGACTAATAAGGCTAATAGAGATGTTGACGACCCTCTAGAGTGGTGGATTCGCCATGCACCTAACTATCCTGTGCTCTCTAAGATGGCATTTGATCTGTTTAGTTGTCCTGCAATAAGTGCTAAGTGTGAGCGGGTATTCTCACAGACGAAGAAGGTCATCACAGATGAACGGAATCGGCTCGATTTAGGGACTGTAGCAGCAATTAAGTGTCAAAAGCACCTCCTTCGAACTGGTATGCTCCTGTAGGTCAGTATAGATATCAAATCGGGAAATTCTATCGAGTAATGTCAACCAACCAAGCAAAGCAAGGGCTTCTCGTCAACCAACCAAGCAAGGTAAAGGATTCTCGTCAGCCAAGTCAAGTAAGAGGGTCGATTTTTGGTTTACTTAGTTGATGGACACACTAAATGTACTGTCTGCCGTCCCGGTCTATGCCTTCTCAGTCTTCCTCCCGCTTGTACTGGCGCCGCTAACAGAGAACGCGAACCCTGCACTCATCAACTTGCTCACTGCGCTGCCACACATATGCGGAGCTATCGCCTTCTACTTCGCCGCTAGCTATAGCAAAAAGCATCGTATACGCCTCAAGCCAACCCTCCTCGGTCTACCCATCATAGTTACAGGCCTAATTATCGTGGTTTATCAGGTTGCTAACTATGGTATTATCGGACTGAACGTTCCGGTAACGTTCAAGTAGTTTGACAGGCTTCCAAGAGATCAAAGGGGGTGTCCTAGGGCGGATAAGCTTAAAGAATCCAGTAGTGTTCAGGCCTAAGCGTGGGAGGGTCGCTTACATCTCAATGAAAGCTTGCTGCATGCAGCACAACTGCAGCACTAGAATTACAAGTACCGCCCTTGCGTAGAACGAAATAGTTTCGGGCATCTCTATCAGTCTTCGAGTCATTGCCAATCCGACAATCTAGCATACAGGAGTCCTCTCTTCTAGCGTCTATAAAAAAGCACATAGCTAACTGTAGCTAACGCAACAGACGCAAGCGTCTGCCAAAAAGGCACAATATACCTAGCAGCAGCGTGCTTCAGTCGATGTCAGTAAGCGGTCCTATACTAACTAGGGAAGCGTAAGCAGCTTCGTTAACGAAAACACGCGTAATGACGGCTAGATTGCTTACAGCTATCTTAAGTAGAACTATACTATATAGGTTCTGTCACTTGCTGGGCAGGAGGAAGATACAATTACGCGCTGATCAGACGAGCGCCTTAGTAGACTCTTGAATACGCCATGTAGCTACAGGGGGTCTACAGTACAAGTGATAGCTGTCTCTCGAATCTCTAGCCTAGGACATCCGTTCAGTCTTCTAGCACTCGCATTTCTTTGTTTTTCAGACGGCTACACCCTAACCGACATGGCTTCCTCCACCGTCTACAAGGGCTCCCCAGATAGCATAATTGTCAGGTCACAGACTACCCAACCCCCCCTCTTAGATGACCAGGTCTTCATTAAAGTTACCGCTTCCGGTCTTTGTAGCACCGATAAGCACTACAAAGCAATCGACATGGCTCTTAGCTACTAGGGTGTCGGTATCGTCAAGGGTGTTAGGCTTAATGTCAAAGATTTTAAAGAGGGCGACCGCGTAGGTTGGGGCTACTAGCACGCCGCTTGCGGTTACTGCAATTCATGTCTGACAGGCTGCGAGACGTACTGCCCTCAGCGTGTGATCTACAGCGATGCCAACCCTCGACTAACGAAGCTTCGCTTCGCACGCAGTTTAGCGCGAGGCCTTTCTCTTTAAGCTGCCGGATGAGTTGACAGACGAAGAGGCTGCTCCCTTAATGTGCGCTGGGGCTACGGTCGTCAGTGTATTGAATACTTACGGTGTTAAGTCTACCGACTGTGTCGGCATCATAGGGATGGGGGGCCTCGGCCACCTGGCTATCTAGTACGCCGCAAAGATGGGCTGCAACGTTGTCGTCTTCTCAGGTTTAGATGACAAAAGGAGCGAAGCGATGCAGCTAGGCGCCACCGAATTCATCACTACTGGAGGGAAATCTGGAATGTGCGTGCACCGTCTGGTAGATGCCCTCCTTGTTACTACCCCAGTACTTCCAGAGTGGACTACCCTGCTCCCGGCTCTCAACACCAACATGAAGATCTTCCCTTTGGCCGTGTCGCCAGATGACTTTAAGATTTCGCAAATGCTGTTAAATGCCAAGGGCATCACTGTGCAGGGCTCCGTCATTGCGCCAAGGTCGGTGCTGAAGAACATGCTCATGTTCTCTCGGCCCAGCATAAAATCAAGCCGATTACTATGCTTTTTCCAATAACTGAGAGCGGGATTGAGGATGCCATGAGCAAGCTGAGGAATGGAGAGATGAGATATTGCGATGTGCTCAAGCCGCGGTAAAGGCGTGGTTCTTGGTAACCACCTTGTAGACCTTACAGATTTCGTACCTCCTTTGACGTGGCAAAGATGGCATAGCCAGCAATAATGAACATCCTTTTCGCTGTCGCGACGTCGCCTGCTACGCTCTCGGCCACTGAGGCAAGGTGTATGGAAGCTTGAGCGACACCCACAGAACGGTGACCTGTGTTTCTGCTGTCAGTTCGTGAGACATTTGTAAGGAATGCGTCAGGCTAGGTCTGACCTAAATCTCCTGGCCGCTTAGTTCTCGCGCCATGGCTCCTTAAAGAGGGTTAAGTGGTCAAACTCCGAGACGCAGGGTTGAAGACGACCGACGAAGTTTCCTCGCTCTAGAGGAATTCCATAGAACGGAAGCAAAGTTAACAAGACGCATAGATGTCGAGAAGCAGATTGTTTCCTCGTGGTGCAATATGAGCACTTGACTCCACCTGGCCCGGCGAAGAACTAGCATAACAGACACCACTCGGGATCAAATCATCTGCTTTTTGACCCTCACATATTTCACGCATGCTTGCAAATGTGCAGTACAGTAGCCTTGGCGTGTCTTCACCCGTGGCCGGCCTTTCTTTGAAAGGTTTGAACCTAAAATGCTTAGTCTTGACAACTCTGCAGCGTGTCAGCGTGAATACTAGCAACATCGCTTCCTAGATATGCCTATGTACCACTTCATGGAGTTCAGTGGGATGCTAAAACTAGCCCGCTGGCTCCTCGCCCCACGTACTGTGATATGCACATCCGCTGCGTTTCCGTTATGCCACCACCAGGTGGCAAGGCAAGACAGGGGAGAGGGAAGAATTCTCTTCTCTCGACAGGTAGAAGCTGTTGGGTGTGGTGAAGGTGTTGGGAGAGTTTGGCTGTCTCATCTAAGAATCGTCAGTTACTTGTTTTTGCCACCATCTTCATTCGAGAGCGTCTGTTCACGTAGGAAGCGTATGAGATGCGGAGATTGGAGGTGGCTTGTCGTTTGTGGGTCGCCAGCATGTGCCGTCTCTCAAAGTTCGAGAAGAGCGCCAAAAGGTAGATGCATGCTGTCTAGCGCGTAGTTCGATGCTTCACTACAAGAAGACAAGGCACTCGGCCAAGGCATCTAGTCCGCCATGTTTTCTCGGAGATGTTCAGAGTGCATGCTGCGTGGGCTTGAGTGGGCCTATACGACGTCTGTATGTTCTTCAGCGCTTGCGATATCAGTCTGGATCAGCGAAGCCTCCAAGGGCAACCGACGCTGCTGTTAGGTAGGCGGGTGAAGTTCAAAGCGGAGTGAAGAGCGGTAGACGCAGTGATTGACAGCACGTCCAAGACCGGTACTTTTCTTTACACGCAGACCTTGACTACGGTGATAATTAAGGTAGAAACCTTCCTCCTAGGTTGTGGTGAGATGCTGCCTTCCTATCTGTTGCTCACCTGTCGCCTCTCTCAGTTTCTCTGTGGTTACAGAGATAGCTGTCTATCGCGGATGTGAATATCGTTAGCGCAATCTAGCTGGGCGAGCTAGAGGAATAGAGAGGATCACAAGATTAAGAGAAAGACCCTTGACCTTGGCCAGCGCTAAAGAGTACTGTGGAAGGCAGTCTTCTGATCTCCTCGAAAGGTAAGAGGGGTGCGCGATAGAGGCACGTGATAGAGAGGAAGTTATAGAATAGCATTCGTAGGATGGCAAGGGTGATATCGCTATTGCACATGACTGTTTCGCCTCATTTCCGAGACGGCTATGATCCTGTCGGGCGGGCTGTGGCGCCTGCTGACTGATTCTGGAGGGTTTTATGGCTAACGCAGGCTAGCGGGATCCGTTGTGACTACTAGCCATGCGATACTGAAGAAGGCAGGCAGCCGTGATTACTCCGAGACGTCTCTCCCCACTGGATTCGATGTAAGGTCTTACGATGCTATGATGTTGGGGCTGTGCTTACTGGTAAGAGCCACATTAACTACTGGGTACGGCTGTAGAGAGCGTGCCATGAGGCTGTATTCTCACGACACTTCGCTTCTGCCTGTGGTTCTTCATCGAACTTAAACATTCTGACTTCTTCTTCCGGAGCATACCCTGACCGCTGGACCGCGATTGCTCCTCGTTTTAGGGGTTCCATGTGGAGGGGACGTTGCGATTTCTTGGGCAGCGAGCATCTCGACAATCTCGACATTGTCGTTTTAACAGCCTCGCGACGAGCTCTTCTTCGCTGAGGTACTAGAAGTTTGGGTGAAAATCGCTAGAAGCAAGGCGAAGTATAAGACTCTTCTGCTTTCTAGGCTTTCTTCTTTTCTAGGGGAGCTACTGATCACTACTCTTGGTAACGCGAGGGACTATTGTATGTGTGCATGTTGAGACATTCGCCATGTGAGTCGTTAGAATAGCCCGTCCTGCTTACTGACTACTATCTGATGACGGGGGTCGACGGTACGGGCCTGCGTAGTGTGCGGACAGGCAAGGCTGCTGCGTGTGTCGCATGCTGCTTCTTACTTGACTCACGAGCGATCCCTATTCTCGGGATAATACAATCGCACCCTTGCCGCGTCTCTGGAGAGAATGCTTGGGACAACAGTAGACGAGCTGTTACACCTCAGCCTTCCTTACCAAGCACGGAGGCAATTATCTCGCCTTCCTATTAGACTCGGGTTGTCGAATGGGAGTTAGTGATCTTGTTGGACTGGACTGGACTGGATTCAGGGTTCGGATCCAGTCCAGTCTAGTGCAAGGGCTCTGGGACTCCTGGAGCGCTAGTGCAAATCCAGTTCTCACAATTGCTTAGTAAGTAACCTTTTTCAATAGAAATAGCCAGTCTAGTAGCCGAATACACATTTATTCTACACTATATACTGCGTTATGGACATCTACAATGTCCATACTGGTTCCATCAATATCGTCCTCGTCTAGAAGGTCGTCTTAGTCCACGATCTAAAATTCCGCGCTGTCCATTTCAGTATTAGCATTACCCCCACCCTGCTGCCTAGTTTCCTAAGGGTTAGGCTTACCTTCTAGTCTCCTAATGCCTTTGTTGTCGAAAGTATTCTGTGTAGGTAGTTTATACCACGATCGAAGGCACTCACTAGCTTCGATAATATCTATCTTAAGCCTTAAGCGCTAGTTAGTAAGCAGCATCTTTGCGCTGCTAAATAGCCTCTTACACTTATTAGACATTAGTAGAACAGCTAGTACGTTAAGAGCTATACGTGCTAGATTAGGTTGCGAGTAGTAGCAATTATTCTAGTACTAGATAACGTTAAACGAGTTATGTTTATTAAGCTAGATAACGTCTTTCTTAAGAAACTAATCGAGGAGATTAATAGCGGGTATTTCAGGTGCTAATACCTTATAGCGGAGCTTAAGCCGCTTATCGCTTTTAATAGCAGCAGAAGCCTTCTCTTTCTTAGCTAGAACAGCTAGCGTTAGGGCTAGGGTAGCAGACGCCTGCTGTTATAGTAACTACCTTAATACTCTTCTAACTAAAACTCCTTAACAAGCTCTTTCACGGTTAAAATCTATAGCCGCTTAACTTCGTCCGTCTAGGTCTCGATGTACCACTAATGTTTAAGAGTTAGATTTAGAGAAATAGCAGTATAGTATACTAGCGTATTATCCGCTTTTTTAAAGTATTCCTTGGCCTTACTCTAGGAAACTTTAGCTGCAGCGGCAAGAAACGCGAAGTTATCTACTTTAGTTGCAAGAGCTCTACGGCTATGTTTCTTTAGAACCGCCTCTTTGTAGAGCTCTTTAAATTTAATCTTAGCCTGCTAAATCTTATCTAGCAGCTAGTTAAGCGTCTAAAAGTAATCTGCTAGTGTTAACGCCCTACCTTCTGTAGATAGGGTTTTATTATAGAACGTCTCAAGCTAGTTATAAAGGTGCGCAAGTTCCTCCTACTGTTGCTTAGAAAGGCGGTCTTAAAAGAGGGTTTTCTAGCCCTAGCTAGCCTTGTACTAGTCACAGAAGATCTAAATTCGCTCCTTCACGTTTAGAGCTCTACTAATCGAGGTAAAGTATGAATTCTAGCGTGTCTGTTAGCTTTGAATAAGCTAGAGCATGTTAGCTCTAATTTCCGCCTAGTAGGTGCTAGCTTACCTCTAAGCTGTTAAACTCTGATAGCTCCCCTCTACATATAATTGATCTAAAGAACTAACGGCGCTAAGGGCTTGCTCGTATATATCAAATAATATTATAAAGCTTTCTGATAGCGCCGCGCTTCCGCTAGAGCTCCTTAATCCTCTTCATACTGCCCTCCCTATACGCAGCTTCTAGATCTTTACAGACTTTTTTAGCGTCCTTTCTGATGAGAAAAGCCTACGCACACAAGTTTATAATATGCCTAAAGCAGCGAAGGCGCTAGCGCCTCCGCTGCTTCTCTAACATATTTAGGTAGAGGGCCTAAAGGACAGAATTAATACAGGTGTTATTAGTAGACGCGTTGTCTGCTATAAAGTAGCTAATCTAGCTAGTAATCTTGTAATCTTTAATTACCTGCAAAAGGACATCGGCGATATTTTCTCCTAAGTGTTCCCCTTCTACCTCACGTAGCGCTAACACGGCAGTTTAACGTGTTCTAGTATTATTAATAAAATATGCTACTACTCTAAGCACAGCAAGGTGATTTGGCGACGTCCAAAGATCAAACGATAACGAAATAGAACTCTAAGCGTCATGCATGTCGTGTCGTAATCTCTCCTTCCTCTCCTTAAATGCACTAATCACCTATTAACGAATAGTAGATGCAGCTTTTAGAAGTAGGTTCGCTAAAGGGGGGAATAGATAAAAGAGGAGATCCCGAAAGTAGCCATTTTCAATCTAGAAGAAAGCAATATAGCAGCAGACTAGCTAGCGGATTAGGAGTTCCTTAAACTAATCTAAGCGGCGGGCGAAGACGATTAACTTCATGTCCTAGTAGTCGGATATCAACAGCTAGCTCATATCTA